TATATATATATAAATTAATTTTTATTATTTAGATTATCCAGGGGTATTAATCAATTGCAAGGGGTTTAGTTTTAAAAATGAACTTCTCTTACAACTTTACGACAGGTTTTTAATGAGGCAAATCAAATATGTAGGGTTTAATTCCGAGGATTTTGAGATTGTTAATTTCTTCCATCCCGAAATACAACGGAGTAAATTAACCCCTGCTGATTAAAAAAGCGTCAGATTTTGTAACAGCTTACATAAGCTGTATTTATCGTATCGCGCTAAAAATGACGGTTATCAGTGGATACATCATGAAAATGTTGTATTCACTATTCAAAATTATTTTAGAAAATTACGGTTTTATTTTTTTTAAAGGTGGGGAAATTGAAAAATGTTTAATTAGGAGGAGGAGCAACCACGTTCGTAAAATCCACTCATTAGATGTCGAAAAATTCGGGTACCGAAATCCACAAAAATTAAAATACCATGTCCTCGTCATCGTAAATTCATCGAGCACTGTGCATTGTGTGATGTTTTTTCATACAAATATTATATGAAAACAGGTAAAAATATTTTATTTTGTTTTTAAAATGTTATTATCGCATTTCAGAAATACTGAATGTATATTTTTTGTTGGACATTTGAAAATTGTATGAATGTATGAATTGTTGGACATTTTTTTAAAAATCTTCGAGGAAAAAATGTAAATTTTTGTGAATAAAAAAATCACAACTTTTATATTTTAAATAAATTTTTTTATTGAATTACAACACTGGTTATTTGTTATTACAATCGGTTTTGATAAATGAAAGTTATTTTTAACAAAATTTTTAACGAATTTATCGTTATAAAATTTATCTGTTACATGCACTTCTGATAAACAGAGATTTCTATTAATTTTACATAAAAATGTAAACAGAAATAACCACAGTTTAAGGAAAACAAACTTTGATGAATAATATTATTTCAACAATATTTTTTTGAATTTCGTTTTATAAATCTGATGATACTCGCTTTCCTTGGTTTTAATCCATAACTATCATAATAAATGCAAGAATTTTTATTTTTTGTAAAAAATACCGATACCCAATGACTTCCCGGCTTATTTTTTTCATCTAAATCAATTATAAAAAATTGTTTATTACCAACTCGAAATAGTAGATCGTCCAATGCAAACACTCCTCCAAAATTTCTTTTTATTTTCGAATCGCTTGCTGCTAATTTCCACAACGTAACGGTATTCATTAATAATCGACGAATACGGTTCGTGAATGATCGATTTCTAAGGTATTATTATATTCTAGCAAACAAATAACGTTTATGGTTTCTGGTATTGCCTTCGAGAACTTTAATTCCACAGAAACGTTTCCAATCTGGTTAACACTAACGTGATTCTCGGAGCCTGATTTATCGGGCGTAAGATCAAAATAATATAAAGTATAACCGTCTCGATACTCGTCGTACGATATATTTATAGATTTGTGATGATGAATACATCCATTATCTTCGAATAACGAGATAAAATTTCTTGCATAAATTTTATTGGTATAATCCGGAGTATAGGGTTTAGAAGAAATCATTTGATTGTCTTTTGATAAACATATATAATTTAAATCATAATTTTTAAAATTAAAAGGATTACGCTTCACATTTCCATTAAATGCAGAATTAGAAACTAATCCGAGAGTTATTCTATAAGGTAGTTGACCGATAACAACGTTTGATATACTTGTAGACTGAATCCCGCTAGTTAACGTAAAGACTTTCACATCTGTTCGACGGAATGGTAATTTAATTAAACCAGTCTGTAATGCTTTTTCAATTCCTATCTGTATTGACGAACTAACATCTACTTTATTAATTTTCAGTGAGGCGTTTTTAATAATAATTTTATAGTTGTCGTTATCTGCCATTAGTGCAAAATTTTCTTTAGATCTTTCCAATTTAATTCTTAGGTCTACATTGTTCGTTAGAAGCTTAGGCTGGTTCGCTAAATCGATATGAAGACGTCCCATTAAATCTATTATTCTACTTCCTTTGCTGGTGTTAAATCTTTTAACTAATCCGTAGTTAATATTATTTTCATCTAACGGATTTATTGAATCCATTTGTCCAGCAGTATCTTTAAAAAATAACGCGCTCGTTAAAAAAGTTTC